CCAGATTGCACCACAAGACTGAGCCCCAGGCCTCTCTGCCAGACCTCTCCATTTGAACTCCAGTGGATCTGAGAAATTTTATCCACCAGATTAATATTCTTCACAGTGGCCCTGTAGATAACCAAGTAGCCTATCCCACCCCAGCAGATATCAAATTACTCTAACAAGTGCCATTAAACTGCTGATAGAAGTAATAAGGATGGAGAAATACTGACATTTCACTGCTATTATTGACACAGAGATATGTCTGTCTGTCTGTCTGTCTGTCTGTATGTATGTATATACCTATATATATGTACACACACACACACACACACAATATACAATATAATTAATACAATTGTAGTTGTACTGTAGTTGTATCACATTTGTAACTGATGTTCTACGTTTGTAAATAATACAAACTAATATAAATATAAGGGAGATGTGCGGTTAAAAGGTTTGATATATAAATAAAGAAAGTAAGAAAAAGAAAAGAAAAAGAAAGTAATAAGAAAACAAGCTAAAAGTGCAAAAAACGGGGGAAAGGAACAAATGTAAAAGAAAGAAAAAAGATACAAAGAAATAGCTTCCAATCTCCTTTATAGCAGTATTAAGTATAATTATTAACTTACCACTTACTCTAATGTTACAGTTGTCCTTTCTATAATCTAACTTATCTAATCATCAAACCATATATCATAGATTCATTTTTTTCTGTTTTATGCAAAAAGTTTATAAGGGATTTCCAGTCAGCAATAAACATAGGTAATGTCTTTTGTCTAATGAAACAAGTCAAATTAGCCATCTTGGCAAGTTCCATCGTCTTCATCAACCATTCCTCCTTAGTGGGTAATGCAAAATCTTTACATCTTCATGCATTTAATAATTTCACTGCAGTTTTCATAGTTGAACAGCCCATATCTTCTGGGGTCAGGAGACCCCAGTGAGCTGAAAAGGCAATCAAAGAATGATCTGCCCATAGCAGTGGACTGATGTTAATGTCCTCTGATACCAGATCACGCTGCAACTGCTCAGGAAAAAAAAAAAAAAACCAGACCTAATGCACAGCAATCAATATGTGTCAAGCCATTAATGACTTGGGACATGTCCATGATTGCCATGGAGGTCATGAATTCCTGAGCTCTCCCAGATTCAATATCACTAGATAGCAGATTGCAGACTCCCCAAGCACTAATAGCCTTAGCATCTCTATTGCCAGCTGTTAGGAAATAATTATTACCTACCTTGTCGGGTTGGCAATATAAAACCAGCAATATAGCTTTAAGACTGCTGTATTGCATCATACTGTGTCTTGATTGGTTAGCTCTGTAGCCAATGTCCTTAAGAGGGAGCTAGAAACATGGTTTGGTCTCTTTGCTGGTTTTGCTCTCTGATATCTCTGTATGCTACTGTTTGCAAATCCAGAAGAACTGTTTATTGTGAATGACTATGACGACTGGTAAGAAGACTTTGTTATTGGATTATCCCTGGACTGTCATTTAGGCTATCTCCTGCTTTATATGTGTATGACCTGGACTGTTTATTAGACTGTGACTTACTATTTCCTGAAAGTAAACACAACTCAGTGTATCTCTGTGTTGGCTGTGTTTATTCGTAACTACTCTCAATCGCTTTCATGTGCACACCCTTGCTACTCAAGGGTTACTCTGCAAATTCCTTAACATTAGCATAACCCATCAGATTAGACAAGGGTATCACATGGGAACAGGAGATGTGGGTACTACACCAGCAACAATTCCAGCATTCTCTTAGACCCAGCTTCAACCAGAGCACCTCACACCCAGTTATCAATGGAATGGAACTTCTGAAAGCCTGAATTAACTTACTAATGACAACCACCACCTCTGTTCCTCTTCCCTGAGCTAGGAAGTCTGAAATCCAGGTGGGCACAACTCTGTGTAATTTTAGCCTTCCTGTAGAGTTAACTTCATAACCTGGTCTACCTAGTGGTACTGATACAAATCTTGCAAGTCTGATTATGCTGCACCTTCTAGAATAAGACAATGACAAGCCACTTCTGTAATATAGACAAAAAAATTACATGCATACAGTTGTCAGGAGTCAAAGGGTATTTTTACTTTTATAGTTGAGAGAAATCACTCAAAAACATCCCTGAGCAAATTAAATCTGTGTTTAATTTAAACAGAGGTTTTGATTAGCAGGTGGAGGATTTTGAGAAGTACATCTTGTAACTTACTTTTTATTGCTATCTCCATCCAAAGATCAGTGTTAAAAACTTGCCCATTGAAGGCTAATTTTTAAAAAAGAAAAAGCATTCCATATCAACTTTCCTAAGACTCATGTAGGCTAAAGGAAATGGGAGTTGTAAGCCAATGTAGCTGAATGACAGCAGAGGGTGAAAACTGATCACATCCACAAGAGGCCAGAGAGACCATTCTGAAAATGAATGGAAAGAGGAAAATGTAGACAGGAAAACTTATGACATAGTTTCACACTTATTACCAAGGCTAAGTTTCCTTTAGTTCCAAGCTTAGGTTTGCAAGAAACTGATGGAGATAATGTTATTTTTGCAAAGAAAGCAATTTTTAAGAGTTGTGGGTATAAAAGTTCAGTAGGACATTAGGACATTAAAGGTAAAAAGTTGAAGACTGGAAAACAGGAAGAGACTGCTATTCCAATAAGCGAGTCAGCTTGGCCAAGCAGATTAGTTAACAGTTTTAACCACACAGTCAAGTAATATAGTGGAGAAAGTTTGTCTTTCTCCACTATAGGCAAATGTTGCCTCAATTTATTATGCTTATGCTGCAAGGATTGTAAGGAAACAAGAAATATAGGTTAAGAAATTTAAAAAGGGACAAAAGGTAGTATGGAAAAAGGGGAACTGGGCAAAAGGTGGGAAAACAGATTAAGCATGTGGAAATTCATGGAGAAACAGGTGTTCCGGGAAGATTGCAACCCTGTGGTCTTTGTTAAAGGGAACTGCAGGGAGGGATTTGTGGTTTGGGTGGAGGGAATAAAAAATTGAAGAAATGTATTTCTCGGTGTGCCTACCTGTTAGCCACCCACTCTTGCAAGAACGTATTTTACATGCAATAAACTGCTTGTTGCTTCACTTTATGACACTGTCAAATTTCTGACTGGTGAATCTGTTTCTCACAGGTTTTTGTGTTGTTTAGATAAAAAGCATATTGTTTTCAGTGGTTTTGTTTAGTTACTGCAGCAGAAATTTAACTTTTCAGCAACTACATGAATATCAATTCAAGTTTTGAATACAGAAAAATTTGCAAAGTTCATTTTTAATTGAAGATACATAGCTGATCTTTGAGTCAACATTCCTACAAATTAGTTTTCCCACTGCAATATAATATTTTTATATATTATTTTCTAAAGAATCCTTTTGTAATTCAGAATCATTCATTTATGGCAGTTATGTCTTCTCTGTGACAGTAATAACTTTTACATAATGTTTTACATAACACTTTCAGGAAAAAATATCTTTAAAACTTTTGTTAGCAGCCTAACAGATATTCAAAGGCTCCATCCAACATTTCCTTATCTCTTAATGCCCTAGTTTGTACAATAAAGGCATTTTCTTTCTGGCTGATTTTTTGTTTATTTCTTTTGCGGTTTGAATATTATCCCATTGTAGGAGCTGTTCAACATTTAGAAATGGAGAAAAGAACCAATAAAATGTATTACTAATGTTCCCTTTAAGAAATTTTAGAAATAGCTTTGAAAAGGATTGTTATTGTTGACTTCAATAAACTACTATTTAAAAATGCAGGTATGTAAATCAGGTGAATGTGTAATCTTGATTATTTAAATATGGTTTCCTCTATTCAGCTTTTCTGAATTAAATTAGGAGTTGCTGACATTACCATATGCAGCATCTTGCTGCTGTCATCAGAATGTAAAAATCTGTGTTACACTACAAGCTTCCCTCTTTTGTGATATGCATGCAATACTATGATGAACTTACAAAAGGGGCAGGGCTTCCTTCTAGTCTTGCTTGTACCCAATGCTGCTTTTGCTACTCTGACACATTGCATACTCCCACTTTGCCACACCAGCAGATGTCACTGATCTTTAAGCCAGACTGAATTCCTGATGAATTTGGGACAAATATTTACTATCTTGACCTTTTTCCAGCAAAAAACTGTAAATCATCCAAATACTTTCTGTGATCTCTTTGAGCTTATTGGCGTATCTTAATCATTTTCTTTCTCTCCCTACCTCTCTCAATTTTGCCAAGCTTAGCTGTTTTTCCTACTCCATCATCCACTCATGCAGCATATTCAAAGTATGGAAGCTTCTGCTTGCTAATCAACACCTCAAGAAAGCAATCAGGATTTATTTGATTCTTCTTGCAGTCTGTGGGACTCTACTGCCTTTTAAAGCAATATGATTGAAAAAAGCTGCTTTAACTAATTTCATCTTGGTTGACATTGAAATGTCCTTCTCTTTCAAGAACTAAGTATGTAATTGTTTATTTTCAAGGATTAATTATTTCTTTACTCATCTGGCATGCCGTTCATCTATTTTTCTTGAGCCAACGCAAATAAATCTATCACCTCCTCTTTTACACTGTCAACTATCACTATGTAATACGGTTGACATTTTTTTAGTCTTATTAATCCAGAGTTTTAATTTCCAATTTTTAGTTTCATATAACTAAATTCTTCTAATTTTGCATTCTTTTCAGTTAATAAAGTGGTTTCATCTGCCTGTCTCAAATGATTGATGATTGATGATAATGGGGGGGAGGTGGCAGGATGAGAAATGGGTAATGATGTCATCATGCAAATGCTGTGATTTGTGGATTTCCACCATTCATTGTGATACAATTATGCAATTGCAATATTTGCATAATACATTTGCATAATGATCTCACTGCACATGTGTCATCATTTTAGGTTTGCAGTTTATTATGATGTGATGGCTGCCTATACTCTTCTTTGTATGATTTTAAGCAAAATTTCCCTTTTTGCAATAGCTGAGTAATTTGTACTTTCTCTTGCATCTCTCTTTTTCAATAGGGATGTACTGGTATTTTCTAGTTTCTGGAATTTTGTGTTGGTAAACAGCCAATAATTATCTCTCCTATTGCATCTTCAAACATTTCACAAGGTATTTCACCTGTGCTTTCTTATTTAATAGTTGGACTCTTGCCTGCCATTTTTCGCTTTCCAGCATGACTCCTGAATGTATAGTGTACATACTTTCTTTCTACAATGTTATTATTATTTTATAGTCCTATTTATAAGAATTGTTTGGGACTTTCATCTTTCATCTTTCCCTGACTACCACAACCACCTGATTTAAAATATTTGGATTTTTTTTCTTTGCTTTGACTTTTTACAATGTCTTTTATCTCTTCCCATAATTTCTCAGGTTCTTTTCCATATATGAAATGTAATGTGCAGTATGTTGTATACATTAAATCTTGATAGCACACCCAATGTCTCATTTTCTAAATTTCACCATAATGTTAATGTTAACAGTGTTCGAGGATCGTGCCCAATAACTCCATAGACAGGTTCTCATTAAATCAATTACTGTTTATTAATTATACATCTTATCTGTTACAGGTACAAGTCTGGAACTGAGGCAGGACCGCATGGCTGACCCTTAAGTACCCCCAGGGCGTGGCTAAGGTAAGGAGGGGTTATTGGGTTAGGGTGGACCTTGGGGGCTGGCTTGTCCAGCCCCCCTGCTTCTAGCTCTGGGTCAGAGGCAAGGCATTTATTCATGACAAAACCCCCTCTAAATGCCTGGCCGAGATATTTTTGTGTGGTGTGTACCTGAGGTGTCCTTTTCAGGAGGACGCCTAATTTTGATGTGAGATATGTGTGCTGTTTATTTTGCAATGGCTTTGTTAGGATGTCTGCTGTTTGTTCTTCCGTGTCACAGTGTATAACTTTCACAAATCCTATGTTCGCGAACTGCCTAACGTGCTTGTACTTTATATCGATATGCCTCGACCTTTGACCCACCGCTTCAGCCTTAGATATTTCCATGGCAGCTTTATTGTCCTCGTGCATGATGATGGGGTAGTTCGGTTCGGCCCATATGTCAGCGAGCAGGTCATCAAACCAGACCAGGTTGTTGGCGGCTTTTGACAAACAGATATATTCGGCCTCCGTGGTGGATGTAGCTACCAAGTCTTGCTTGCCTGTATACCAATGAACTGGGCTGTTGTTTAGAAAGAATATGTAACCCGAAGTGCTCTTTCTGCACTTCACATCCCCAGCCCAGTCAGCATCTGCATAGCACGTGAGTGTGGGTGTTGTGGTGTTCTCGGGCTCTAATGATAGGCAAGCCTCGGAAGTTTGCTTTAGATACCTTAATACCCTTTTGATGGCCTCCCAGTGGTACACAGTAGGCTTACCCACATGTCTTGACAGTAAGTTAACTGGCAGAGCGATGTCTGGCCTGGTCCAGTTCGCAATGTATAGTAGGGAGCCTATGGTGGATCTGTATAATGTGTTGTCCTTGAACGCCTCAGCCTCATTATACATGTCCTTCAAGAAATCTGGTTGCATTGGCGTTTCACACCCCTTGGCGCTTGTCATGTTGCATTTATGTATTAATTCCAAAATTTTATCCTTCTGTGACAGTTGGAAACCCTTGCCTGTTTTCGTGATTTGCACCCCCAAGTATTTGTCTACCTTGCCCAGTATTTTTAGTGTAAAATGTTTTCCCAGCTCATTGGCGAAGTTATTACATTTGCTAGCTTGATCACCGATATACAATATATCGTCTACGTATATCAAAACATATTTGAGGGAGCTGTCTGACTTTTTGGTGAAGAAGCAGTTGTCGGCTGAAGTGGCTGAGAATCCCATGGATTTCAATGTCTTGGATAGGCACTCATACCAACGTTTCCCTGATTGTTTGAGTCCATACAAGCTTCGGTTTAAGATCCAGGTTTCTCCCTTTTTGGTGCTTTGGCTAGGTGGCGCTCTCACGTATATCTCTTTGTCAAGCTCAGCGTGCAGGTAAGCGGTTTGCACGTCGAATTGGTGCACTTCTAACCCTAGCAGTGATGCGATTACTAGCGCACACTTCACACTCTCGGCCCTGACTGTGGGAGAGTACGTTTCCGTGTAGTCATCAGGGTATTTCTGGGCGAACCCCTGTGCCACCAGCCTAGCTTTGTAGAGCGCTTTGTTTCCCTCTAGAGTTTTGACCTTGTAGACCCACCTAGTGCCTATGGTCGTCTTTCCTATTGGGACTTTAGAGGGAGTGTATACATTTAGTTCCCTCAGGCTGTCCATTTCCCTTTCCATGGCTTGTTCCCATTTCTCTCTCTCCTCATCCGGTAACCCCAGTACGTCCTCATATGTGTTGGGGGTTAGTTGGTTAGTGTGTAGGGATAGTATGTAGTCCCCTAACCTTTCTGGCCTTTTGCCCCTGTTTGCCCTGACTGGTCTGTCAGGAGGTGTCTCTGTGTCATGCATGTACCTAGCCTCTCTCTCGGTGAGTGAGTCCACTTTGATGTGTGGGTGGTTTTCCTTCCATCCCTTCACTGGTATTTCCTGTCCTTTGGGTTTGTTCTTTCCCTGTTCAGTGCCCCTTCCTGCTTGGTGTTTTATTTCCCTTTGATCATCCCCTGGTCCGTCCTTGTTAAGGGACACCTCGTTGAGGTGTATTTTGGACCAGTTAGCATTTTCGTGAAAAACAGCTGTTCGTGATATTACGAAATTGTTGCTGTTGTCTATGAACCTGTATCCCTTCGTCCCCGGTTCATAGCCCATAAACCTCAGCCTCTTGGATACCCTGTCTCCCTTACGTCTGAGTTGTTTGGGGATGTGCACATCTGCTGTGACCCCGAATATGTGTAAGTGTGACACCTGTGGTTTCCTTTGGTACATTAACTCGTATGGAGTTTTATTCAGTACGCTGGACCATAGCCTATTTAAAGTATAATTCGAATAAATGAGTGCTTCGGACCAGAAGTGCTGCCCTAGGCCGGCATCCTCTAGCGCGCACCTCATCATGGTCTGTAGCGTTCCGTTTTTTCGTTCTACCACGCCATTTTGAAAGGCGGAAAACGGAGAAGTTGTGTAATGGACCATCCCACGTGCCTTCAGCCATCGCGAGAAGTCGCTTGATAAGAATTCAGACCCCCGGTCTGTCATTATTTGCCTGATTTTGGTGTTGTGCTGTGTCTCCACCCTCGCATAGAATTCCTTAAATTTTTGGAATACCTCATTCTTGTGTTTTAGGGTGTACACGAAGCCATAGTGGCTGAAATCATCCACTATGGTCAGGAAGTATCTTTTCCTGTACTTGATGGAGGGCCTTAGTGGCCCCACTAGATCCATATGTACGAGTTGAAAGATCGAATTAGTTGTGCGTACTGACTTCTTGGGTCTTGGTTTGGTTTTTAATTTGGAGCCCTTACAAATAGAACACTCGAGATAGTTCTCACAATCCTTTATTTTTATACCTTCAGAGCATTCCAACATTTTCTGCACCACGGGAAAACTAATGTGTCCTAGTTTTCTGTGTAATAGGTGGGCACAGTTGTCATGCATCGGTTTTCCTATCGCTGGTTTCTCCTTCCTGGGTGCCCCCTGCTCACTGGGGTCATTGGTGGTGTGTGTGTGCTTAACCCCCTCTACTTCCCTACTTGTGTTGTCTGTGCTATTGGGTCTAACCCCTCGGTGATTGTTTACTTCTGGCTGTTTGTCCTTGGTTGGGTGGAAGAATGGTAGTTCCCCGCTGACTACTACTTTCCCTATCCTTTTACCCCCTCTAGTTACCTGTGCCTTTCCTTCTTTGAAAGTCACCTCGACATTGTTATCCTTGCTCAGTTTTAGGGTGGCAAGGATATTATATGGTATATTTGGCACTAGAAGTACTCCCTGTACCACACCTATTCCTGGCACGTATGCGTTACCTTTGCCTGTTACTTGTACGTTATTCTGGTTAGCCACTTTTACTACAAAGCTTTCTCCTGTGAAAGAGGTTAGTAGATTGCGGTCATGTGTGGTGTGGTTTGTGGCTCCTGAGTCCAGTAGCCATGTGCCTTCCTCCTTGTCCTGGCCTATGTGTCGTTCTTGATCCCCTATGCCATACAGTGATCCGGTGTGGCTCTCCCTGGAACTGTCCCTGTGGTCTCTCCTGTCCCTAGGGCTAGGGGAATCCCTACGCCTGTGTCTGACCTCTGGTGAGCGCCCGCTGGTATGTCTTGTCCTTTGCTCTGGCCTATCTCTTCTATGTATCCTGTCTCCTGTATTTTTAGGGCAGTCCCTTTTGTAATGGTTTCTTGACCCACATATATAACACTCTGTGTTGCTGTGGCTCCTGCCCTGTGGCTCAACCTTCCTGCTGGGTCTTTGCTCCCTGCGGCTTAGAGAGCGGTCCTTTCTGATGCTATCTTCTGATATTAGTTTGCTTGTTAGTAAGTCTAGTGAGAGTCTCCCTGTCCCTAGATTGTCTATCTGCGTAATGAAGGTGTCCCAACTGGGGTCTAGGGAGTTCACTATGATGGTCCTCTCGCTTATGACCTCCCCCCTTTGTGTCAGCTGGGCCCTAGTATTATTTAGGGATAGTAAATGCTCGCTCATTGGGGTCCCTGCCTTGAGTTTGGTGGCATAAAATTCCCTGGACAGCCTGGTGGTGCTGGCAACGCTTTGGCAGTAAAATAATTTGTGCATTCTCTGTATTATTTCTAGAGCAGTCAGGTGGTGGCTAATGCTGGGGTAAATGCTGGGGGTAATACTGGCAATGACAATACAGTAAGCTTTGTGATGGATGCAATCCAATTCAAAAGTCCAGGGTTTTTCTGGGGGGTCTGTAACCATAGACAATAGGTCTTCCTTAAGCAGGGTGGCCTGGAGCTGCTGATTCCAGTCCAGGAAATTCTCCCCATCTAGCCTCAGTTTGGGAAAGTCACTGGGCAAAGTCCCTGAATTGTAAGTTAAATTACTTACATTATGTCGCTGTCCATGGTTCCTCACGTAAGGATACTCGCAATAAGGCAGAGGAACGACTGTGGCAAGTCTGAACTAACTTGTCTCTATGTGTCTGCGTCGGTGTAGCTCTATGTCCTGTTCCGTTTCTCTTACAGGGGCGTGCTGCGCATGCATGAGGTTCATTTCTCCCCAGTCGTCGTGGAGTGAGGAGCTCGTCCATGCTGCTCCCGGGTGAAGGCCCCAATCTTCCGGATGGGCCTTCAGTTCCTCTCCGGTCGGCCTTGTCTGCTCGGGATCGTCGTGGATCGTCGCCTGGAGTCTCGGGAAGCGGTGAGGATCGCCGGTAGACGCTGGGAGTCCCGCTGGGGCCGCGAATGGTCCCGGATGGCCCGGTCTCGTGCGGATGCCGCCTGTGGGTGTCGGGCCGAGCCCCCTGCCCGCCGATGGACGTCCCCTGCCTGCGGATGGCCTCGCGGTCCATGGATCTGGTCCCGGTCGTCAGTCCGGTGAGTAATCCCATCGCCCTTGGTGTCCCGTTTTAGTGGGTAGGCTCCTTAGGGGCTCTGGGTGGTCCTGGGTCCACGCGATGGTGGCTAGCTTCCCAGGGTGGGCGTCGGTGCCAGCCCTCCTCGCGCTGGGGTCCCCTTTGCTTTTGGGCCTGGCACCGGGGTGTATGGTCGGTATTTTCACCTTGTCCCCTAGGGCCGCGGCTATTAGTTCGATGGCCTTATTGACCTCAGGCTCGGTAGGCGAGTCTGTAGGTTTGGGTTTTGGGCTTTTGTGTTTTTTATAGTATTTTTGGTCGGTTGTTTTTGAGTAGGCCCCGATTCCTGCCATGGGATTTAAATCTCGGGAGTCTATTGGTGGATGGTCGGCCATTTTTGATGACGCCGCCTCCCAAGATGGCCGCCGTAAAAAGGGCGCGAAGTCTCCTTCGGCCTTTGTGGTAGGTTTTTGGTGGGGGAAATCTTTCCTTACCGGGTCTTCTTCGCTGTAATCGGATTCGTCTTCATCTTCCTCACTCGCTGCTTCGCAGCCTTTGATCAGGCTTCGGAGTTCCGCGATGAGGTCGTTGTTGCTTTGCGATGAATCTATCAGCTCGAGGAGTTTTCCTTTTAGGTCGTGCATCTCTTCTTTTGAGGTTTCGTGTTTCGTCCGCCCCTCGTTGCTTCTGGCCGGGGTGGATGGGTGGTGGAGTAGGCCGCTCGTCTCGGGTGCCTCTCCTTGTGTGGTTTTGGTTTGGGCAGATCGTTCTGCCATCTTCTTGGTGAATGCTCTGGTATTCACCCTGTCTGTTGTGGTCCTTTGCATGCTGTGGAGTATTAGGATTGGGCTATCCAACCATCCTCTGCTATCATATTGTTAACAGTGTTCAAGGATCGTGCCCAATAACTCCATAGACAGGTTCTCATTAAATCAATTACTGTTTATTAATTATACATCTTATCTGTTACAGGTACAAGTCTGGAACTGAGGCAGGACCGCATGGCTGACCCTTAAGTACCCCCAGGGCGTGGCTAAGGTAAGGAGGGGTTATTGGGTTAGGGTGGACCTTGGGGGCTGGCTTGTCCAGCCCCCCTGCTTCTAGCTCTGGGTCAGAGGCAAGGCATTTATTCATGACAGTTAACTCTAATAATCCATGGTTTGCTACATTTCCTACAGTTTAAAGTATTGTGAATAACTTTTTTCCATCTTGTGTTTCCTTATGCTTATATGCAAAAGTTAGCCATCCCTGGTTGTATTGTGTGTTTCAGGGAATCTCTAAAGCAGGGGTATCAAACTCATGTCATGGCGGCATCACATGATGTATCAGGACTTTTTTCCCCTTCGCTAAACTGGGCGTGGGCATGGCCAGCACGTGATGCATCCTGCCCATGGGCTGGGAAGTTGACAACCCTGCTCTAAAGAAACAGAGACTGATAAAGTTTAAATGGACAAAATTAAATACAACACATTTTCACAAATGTGATTTTTCAGTAATATTCACATTTGGAAACTATTCCCAAAACTTTATCTTTCTTCATGGCTGATCTGAAGGTATGTTTTAGATGGTTGTGGAAATATTTAGCATCATTTTTTTCAGATTATGGACTTAAACTTCTAGGATATGTTTATATTTAGCTGAATCCATTCTTCTTTCTACCCTCCAATATTTCTTATACTACGCATGACTACAAAATCCCAAAACATAATACTGTAAAGGCATCTTTGTAATTAACAGCACTTTCCTGAAGGTCATTAGGGTTGGGGCCAACTGTATTCCCACTGAAACAAACAAAACGTTAAAATGTTATGATATTTATGTCGTTACTTACCAAGCACATCTAAATTATATTAAAGTAACCAAAATATCTTTACAATTCCCAAGGCATGTCACAACTTTTGAGAACCCCTAATGTAATGATGATGGGCATTACATCAATACTGTGGGTGGGAGGGGCAGATATGGCGGGAGCAGGGGGCCATATCGTATTGTGGGAGTACGCACTCACTGTCTTCGAGCAGTGGCGCGCTCCGGCCCCTAATGCTCCTCTCGTTCCCTGGGTTGCACAGATCCTCAGGGCCTGGGCCTTCAGCTGATGTTATGCAATGCCAGGTCCATGGTAAATAAAGCCCCCCTCATTTACGATCTTGTTCAGGAGGGGGGAGCGGACCTGGCGGGTATTACGGAGACCTGGTTAGGCCAGGAGGGGGGGTCCCCCTCGTCGAAATGTGCCCACCTGGTTTTCACGCATTTCATCAGCCGAGGTCACAGGGGAGGGGCAGGGGGTGGCAGTTGTCATTAAAGAAGGTCTTGGTCCGAGGGAGGCCACTGTTCCTCAGACTGATGGATGTGAGTTCCTCCTTGTGAAATGGGGTCATGGGGTTCAGATGGGCTTGCTGATCATGTACCTGGCTCCCTGCCACGTGGCGGTGGCCCTGCCCGAGCTGCTCAACATTATAGCCGCAGTGGCGGTTGATACCCCCAGGCTTATGGTCATGGGGGATTTTAACCTGCCATCCGTCGGTGAGGCGTCTGAGGCAGCCCGGGAGTTCATGGCTTCCATGACAGCTATGGACCTGACCCAGTTAGTTCATGGCCCTACTCACACGGGGGGAAACACACTGGACCTGGTTTTTGTCTCTGGTCAGTGGTTGAGTGATCTTGAGATAGGGGATATAGTGATTGAGCCCTTGTCATGGTCGGATCACTCCCTCCTTCGCTTTGACCTTCGAACCGCCACACCCTGCCGCAGGGAGGTGGAACCAATGAGGTGGTTATGCCCTAGGAGCCTGATGGATCCGGATAGGTTCCAGACGGAGTTTGGGCCATTCCCTGATACTCTGGCTCACGACTCGACTGAAGACCTAGTGGCTGCCTGGGATAGGGCGGCCGCTGGAGCTTTGGACCGGGTCATGTTTTTGTGGCCTCTGACCCAGCACCGGTCTCACCTGGCTACTTGGTTCACCGAGGAGCTGAGGGAGATGAAGCACCAGAAAAGTCATCTGGAGAGCAGTTGGAGGGCCAGCCTTTCTGAATCCGACCGAACACTGGTAAGGTCTCATATTAAGACCTACCTAGTGGTGATAAAAGCGGCAAAATGTAATTATTTTTCCACTCTTATTGCATCATCAGATAATCTCCCAGCCGCCCTGTTTAGGGTGACCCATTCCCTGCTCAACCTGGGAGCGCGGGAGGACCCCTTGGAGGGCAGGGCCAAGGATTTTGTACAGTATCTGTATGACAAAATCACTCAGATTCGGGAAGACTTGGACTCTGACTGGGTAGATTCAGGAGGGAAGATGGAGGCAGGTCTTGAGAATGTTATCTGGGAAGAGTTTGACCCTGTGACTCCCGAAGACGTGGACAGGATTCTGGGTAGACAGCGCAGCCACATGTTTATTGGACCCATGTCCCTCCTGGTTGGTGCTGGCTTCTCGGGAGGTTACACGAGGCTGGCTCCATGGGATTATTAATGCTTCATTGAGTGAGGGTGACTTTCCCGCCACCTTGAAAGAGGTGCTTTGTGGCAAAGGTTGTTGAGAGTGTGGTGGCGCAACAGCTTCCCCAGTACCTGGATGAAACGGTTTATCTAGATCCATTCCAGTCGGGCTTCAGGCCTGGGTACAGCACGGAAACGGCATTGGTCACGTTGGTTGATGATCTCTGGAGGGCTCAGGACAGGGGTTGTTCCTCTGTCCTGGTCCTATTAGAACTCTCAGTGGCTTTTGATACCATTGACCATGGTATCATGCTGTGCCAGCTGGAAGAGTTGGGGGTGGGGGCACCGTGTTGCAGTGGTTCTCTTACTTTCTCTCTGACCAGTTGCAGTCTGTGTTGGCAGGGGGGCAGAAGTCGACCCTGAGGCGCCTTCTATGTGGGGTGCCACAGGGGTCGGTCCTCTCACCCCTTCTGTCCAACATTTATGTGAAGCCACTGGGTGAGATCATCCGTTGTTTCGGGGTGAAGTACCATCAGTACGCTGATGACACTCAGCTGTACATCTCCACCCTGGACCACCCCAATGATTCCCTTGAAGTGATGTCCCAGTGCCTGGAGGCCGTGCAGATCTGGATGGGGAGAAACAGACTCAGGCTCAACCCATCCAAGACCGAGTGGCTGTGGTTTCTGGCGTCCCGATATAGTCAGTTGGTGCCATCACTGACTATTGGGGGTGAGTCGTTGGCCCCCACGGAGAGGGCTCGCAACTTGGGTGTTCTCCTGGATTCACGGCTGTCTTTAGAAGGGCATTTGACGGATGTGGCCGGGAGGACTTTCTATCAGGTTCGCCTGATCCGCCAGTTGTGTCCCTTTTTGGATCGGGACTCCTTACGCACGGTCACTCATGCCCTCATCACTTCCCACCTGGACTATTGTAATGCTCTCTACATTGGGGCTCCTCTTGAGGAGCACCCGGAGGCTCCAACTGGTCCAGAATGCAGCTGCGCGGGTGGTTATGGGAGCGATGTGGCGTTCCCATGTAACACCTCTCCTGCGCGAGCTGCACTGGCTCCCGGTGGTCTTCCAAGTGCACTTCAAGGTCTTGTTACCACCTTTAGAGCACTCCATGACTTAGGACCTGGGTACTTATGAGACCGCCTTCTGCCACCAGTAGCCTCTCACCGGCCAGTACGCTCCCACAGAGGGGGGCTCCTCAGGGTGCCATCGGCCAAACAGTGTCGACTGGCGGCCCCCAGGGGGAGAGCCTTCTCTGTGGGGGCACCTGTATTTGGAACGAGCTCCCCCTGGAGATATGGAGGATCCCAGATTTATGCACTTTCTGCTGTGCCCTCAAGACCTTTTATTTCAACAGGCTGGCCTGGCCTAACTTCCTTTTAATTGTTAATTTTAAATTTGTTTTAAAACAATAGGGGTGTTTAATCTGTATGGGCCAAATTATTTCATGTGCTTTTACATTGTTTTTTAAATTTTGTATTATGTGTGTTTTATCTTTTGGCTGTTCACCGCCCTGAGTCCTTCGGGAGTAGGGCGGTATATAAATCCAAAATAAAGTAAATAAAGTAAAAAGTTTGGAAATTGAAAGTTGAAAAATTTGACATACCCTAATCCAGGGAGAGCCTGTTCCATAATGGCAGAGAATGCACAAACATCTGCTCCCTGACGAGATTGCAGGAGATATGTGGCAATGCCTTTGAAATCAAACATTTTTTACATTTACCTTGCAGACACAAAAATGTTTTATCAATCCTTCTCACTACTTGCATAAATGTTTCTGCATAGTTACTTACAAAATGGAAATTTGAATTGTAATAGTTACAGCTGTATTAGTCCTTGTTTAACCTAAGAACTCCTCAATGCATTTTAAAAGGAATTTTATAGTGTTCTGAGATACCTAATGAAGTCTGTCTGCTGCAGTTGAGTCATCTTAATGATATCTTAAAGATTAACACCATAGAATAGAATGGTTACAACCTACCTGATGAGAATTTAAAAACTGGGTCAATTGCATTGGGGGGGGGAGAGATCATAACATTGTATGCCATGCATCAAAGTACATTTTGCACATTATGATTAATAAAAATAATTTTAATACAATTATTTCAGAATAAAAAATGAAGAATTTGGTTATGGGCTCATTGGCCCAGGTAGGTAAATCTGATGAGTGTTGGACCCCAACAACCTCTAAGTATTCTCCTACAGTTTTTAGAACTGTTCATATCATTCATGTACAAATGTATCCAACAGAAAAAGAAGTAAGTTCCACATTCCCAGGTAAGTATGTCAGAGAATCTCACAATCGTTTTAGCACTTTTTTACTGTTCTGAATAGAACAGTATGTCCTGACTAGCTGAGTTTTAAAGTGTTCAGCCTTGAGGTACAGAAAAACATTTTTAGAAAGTAAAAATTCATTATTATATTTTCAAAATGAAGCTTCCTTCCACTGTAGGGTATAAGGATTGAAGAGAAAATAGGACTGACTGAGAAGATCTGTACTCTTGGGGTGATCAATAAACATGCATCTTTTTGAATAACTATAGCCCCATGAAATGGTTGAACCATAGCTACTATTTCAGTTAACTGGCTACATGTGCCCTGCAATGTAACATCTAACTTTAAATAAGGAGCTGAAATACACGAGTGTGTTGTTAGGCTAGCAACCCACATAGCCACACTCAGACACATGTTTATAGGCCAAGCATAGTAAGAAGTGTAACATGGTACACTTACATAGTAATATGGCAAGGGACAAGGAAAGCAGAGGAAAGCTAGACCCTACTTACTTGAAGTATGGTTTACTGAATGTGCTCTTCATTGATTTTATGATTGGTTCAAAAGAAAACATATTTTATCTTCTCACTTACCAGTTTATATTCAAGCTCTCCTATTTTCATAAGAGAACACCCCAACTTATTAAAGGTAGGTACATAAGCAGCATGGGGGGGGGTTCGTGATGGCTTAGCGGTTAAAGACACTGAGCTTGTCAGATGGAAAGCCAACAGCCCAGGTTCGAGACCCAAGTGCCATGCGACAGGATGAACATCTGTTTCCCTATGCTCAGTTTCAAATGTTAAGTATATGTGCTTTGCTTTCCAACTCTACTTGAAAATCAAAACATGGGACTTAGATCAAAGTTAAAACCAATAGGACATTAATTGGTATAGCTGAGTATTTGGATGAAATTGTTATTCAGTGTACCTTGTTTCTAAGGGAAAAGAAGTTCAAGGGTTAGGGTTAGGGTTGTTATTTATCTATATTCAATTTCTTTCACAGAAAGTCATGGTAGAGTGTTGGCATTTTCATGACATTAAGTTTATTTAAACCTAGAATCAGTCTAATCATACCATGATTATTCACAGCATTAACACTCTAGCAGAATCCTGTTCCTCACCAGATTTCCAGGGCATTAGTGCTGTACAGTGCCAATTATATACAAGAGACTAATGAAGATGAATAATAATAAATAATGAGTTAATGAAGACTAGCACCTTTC